GACTGGGAAGAAGCTCCTGGCTACTGGCTTTGGATTGGCACAGCTTCAGCCATTGCAGCCAATTGGGGAGTGAACCAGCAGAAGGAACACCTTTCTCTCTGTCTCTTCCTCTCACTGTCTGTAACTCTACCTCTCAAATAAAATAAATAAAATCTTTAAAAAAAAATTAAGTAGAAGAGAGCCATTAATATTCCAGTGTGACATAAACTCCTCTCCTGTGACCTAAGTTATCTATATTTAATTATTCCTTAGTCATTTCTTTGCAGCATCTATGGATTTTGGATTAGTTACTTTTAGCTATAGAGTCTCAGTCAGTTTTGGAAATTAAGTCATTGATGATAAGATTCGATGCTAAACTTAGACTTCAGATACTTGATCTGTTAAAAGCATGCTCTGATGATATCATTTTCCAGTTCTGAAATTCTGTTATTATGATTCAGTGTCCCATGTTTCTAGACTGAGAGGTCCTAAAGGGAAGACTTTAGCATTTTTCTTTGTACTGTGCCATGAAAACTCCACTGAGCTTACTTAAAACCATTAAAAAGACCTTTTATGGGTATTTTAAATGTTATATTACTTCATGTCCAGTGTTACTGAAAAAATGGCTATATTTTTTAGTTGGTTGCAGTGTCCTGGATCTGGCAAAGTTTGTGATTTTTGAGTAGGATTTTTATTAGGATGATATAAATTACCCATTTCCCCCTGAAATTTTGAAATTCTTGGGTCACAGTTCTTTCTTATTGAATACACTTAATGCATTTGTCACCTGCACCTGTATCACAGAGTTAAAAGAATAATTCCTCCCCAAGGATAAATTATTTTGATATTTTAGAAGACAGGGTATGGTTCAGCTGAGAAAAGACTTATTCATTGATATTAGTATTCCTGGCATTTATGACCACAAATTATTTCTGTTTTAGGAGATGTTAGCATGTTCTTCATTAATGCCAAAGCATTAAAATGATAATTGGCTTTTCTATCAGCATTGACAGAATGTATATATTTATGCCAATTTCATTACATAAGAAATTGGGAAAAAACAGTATTTAAAGAGTTGATGACTGACAGTCTGCACTGAAGTAAACACAAGTCTTTTCTGAGCTGATAAAAATGACCCCCTCCTTCTCATGCAAACAACCCCTGGGAGTAAGAGACAGGAGTCTAGTTATCTAAATGACCTTGTGGAACTAATTTGCCATGTCAACCTGTGCTGTAGACTTGTGGATATATAATGAAATGAAAAATCTGTAGCTGCTTGTTGTTGTCTTAGTTGAAGTGTACAACTCTTTGGTGTTTATAGCTCTTGAGTGAGAGAAAAGTCCCCTTGCGGGGGCATATGCAGAATTGTGCCAAATGTTAGATTAACAGCAAACTGTAGCTGTAGAAAACAGTTTGTATTTGGCAAGAAGGGTGGGTTAGCAAGGATTCTTGGACTTCCTGTGATTGGCTAATCTGCATACTTTCTCTCTGCTCCAGTGCCTAAGGTCCTTTCTCACTTTGTAAGGTGTCTGACCCTGAGGCAATTAGGGTGGACAGATAAGACCCAGAGTATGAGAGCTGATAAGAGAAATTATTGTGGTATACATCTGTTGTTCATAAAGAGAAACTGACTAGCATGTAACCAGGGCTTCAAAAGTTGGGTTAGGCTAGCATTAAAAAACAAACAAAAGCAAACCATCAGCCTATCATTCCACTTGGATGATGACTACATCCCACTTGGAAGCCTAACTCTAGCCGGACTCCAGCTTCTTACTAATGCAAACCAAGGAAAGCAACAATGATGGCTCAAGTAAATAGGCTTCTGCCGCCTTCAGGGGACACTGTTTGGCCTTTCCCAATCCAGCTGTTGAGGGCATTTGGGGAATGAACCAGTGGTTAGGAATTCTGTCTCTCTGTAAACAAATAAATAAATAAAATTAAAATTAAAAAGACTACTTTATATTTGGACCAACCACAAAATAAAGGAAGTCTGTGTATCAGAAATCCAAGTGAATTGATGTATAAACAATGGGAGTTAATGAATAAAGGGACCTGTTCACTGGAATTCTCCGCCTGTGGCGCCAGTACCCCAGGTTCTAGTCCCGGTTGGGGCGCTGGATTCTGTCCCGGTTGCTCCTCTTCCAGTCCAGCTCTCTGCTGTGGCCCGGTAAGGCAGTGGAGGATGGCCCAAGTCCTTGGGCCCTGCACCCGCATGGGAGACCAGGAGAAGCACCTGGCTCCTGGCTTCAGATCAGCGCGATGTGCCGGCAGCAGTGCACCAGCGGCAGCGGCGCACCAGCGGCAGTGCCATTGGGGGGTGAACCAACGGCAAAGGAAGACCTTTCTCTCTCTTTCTCTCACTGTCCACTCTGCTTGTCAAATAAATAATTAATAAAAACTATATGAACCTAATCTCAAAATATATTTTAAAGGTGTATTTATTTATTTATTTAAGATTTATTTATTTATTTGAAATCAGAGTTACACAGAGAGAGGTGAGGAAGAGAGAGAGGTCTTCCATCCATTAGTTCACTCTCCAGATGGCCACAATGGCCGGAGCTGCACCAATCTGAAGCCAGGAGCCAGGAGCTTCTTCTGGGTCTCCCAGAAGGGTGCAGGGGCCCAAGGACTTGGGCTATCTCCCACTGCTTTCCCGGGCCATAGCAGAGAGCTGGATCGGAAGTAGAGTAGCTGGGTCTCGAATCAGCACCCATATGGAATGCCGGCACTTCAGGCAGGGTGTTAACCCACTGCGCCATAGCACCGGCCCTGTGTTTATTAAATTGATTGATTTGAAAGGCAGAGTTAAAAAGAGAAACAGATATTTATCTAGTGGTTCATTCCTCAGATGACTGCAACAGCCAGGGATTGGCCAGGCTGAAGCCAGGAGCCAGAAGCTTCATCTGGCTCTTCCACATGGTTAGCAGGGGCCCAGACAATTGGGCCATCCTCCGCTGCTTACCCAGGCCGTTAGCAGAGAGTTCAGAAGTGAAGCAGCTGGGACAGGAAGCAATGCGCACAAGGGATATGGTGTTGTAGATGGTGACTTTACCTGCTATGCCACAGTGCCAGTACCCCCCCAATTATAATATATATATTTAGTTTAATAGAATAGTCTTGAAGAAAAAACAGCCTTTCCTACTGTGCTCTCACATCTCAGAACATTTCCATGAGCATATGTGTACGATTTTCCCCACACACCAAGCAGTGCCCAGCATATACCAGCTAGGTGGTGTGTAACTCAATTCTGACACTTACATGAAGAGTGAGACAGATTTCACAGTTAAGGGCTCTGTCCCACAAGACTGTCTTCTACTTTAGATGCCAATTTTGTCTCAGGTTCTGATCTCTACTACTACCTTTTTTTTTTAAAGATTCATTTATTTATTTATTTAACTGAAAGGCAGAATGACATATCTTCTACCCATTAGTTTACTTTCCAAATGCCCACAACATCCAAGGCTAGGCAGCCCAAAAGCAAGCCAGGAACTCCATCCACGTCTCCCACGGAGGTGGCAGAATCCCAACCCTGTGTGCCCACAGAGTCTGCCCCTTGACCTTTACTTATGATGGGATTGGCTGTAAATCAGAGTTCCCACTCTTCCCTCCTTGAAATAGATTAATTTCTATTAATGTCTTATAGAATGGCTTATGGAATCCAGGGAAATCTAGGATGGCTCATAGAATCCAGGAAATACTTAGCTTACTGGCTTGTTGTATTATAAAAGATATTTCAAAGGATCTAGATGAACAGCCATATGAAGGGAAGCCTAAGGTGACATGTAGGGATGGAGCATGACTTCCCCCCTGCTAGCACCTTAAACCAGGTGTTCAACAACTCAGTTGCTGTCTAGACCCAGTCCTTTTGGGTTTTTATGGCAGCTCTATCACATGAAGTGATTGATAAGATCAATCACTATTGGTAATCAACCCATCTTGCAGCCCTCTGCCTTCCCCGGAAGTTGAAAATTGGGGCTGTAAGTTCCATTTGAATCATGTAATTGGTTCCCCTGGCAACCAGTTTACATCTTAAGGTCCTATGGGAGCCCAAGAGTCAAGCCATTAGAACAAAAATGACCCTATCACTGAGAAATGCCAAGGGATTGGGAGCTCTCTTAGCTGCTCCTATAAAAATGTAGGAAATTACAAAGATCTTGAAAGTTCTACGTCAGGAACCAGGGTCAAGGACCAAATACTAAAAGAGATTCTGGAAGCACTTCTATCTACAACGATTTTAGGAACCCTAATTCAGGACCTGAGAAGAAAGACCAAATATTTCTTACAAAACACAACACCACAAGTAGGTAAGAGATTTTTAATGCATTTCGCTTAGGAACTGATAAGCTAAGGAGACAAAAATAATAGGAGGTATAAGACAGATGGTTGGGGGCCAACACTGTAGCACAGTGGGTTAAAGCCCTGGCCTACAGCACCAGCATCCCATATGGGAGCCAGTTTTAGTCTCGGCTGCTCCACTTCTGATCCAGCTCTCTTCTGTGGCCTAGGAAAGCAGTAGAAGATGGCCCAAGTCTTTGAGGGCTCCTGTACCCACATGGGAGACCTGGAAGAAGCTCCTGACTGCTGGCTTCGGATCAGCTCAGCTCTGGCCATTGCGGTCACTTGAGGAGTGAACCAACAGAAGGAAGACCTTTCTCTCTCTGGCTCCAACTCTCTCTGTAACTCTGTCTTTCAAATGAATAAAATAAATCTTTAAAAAAAATGGGGTAATTTGAATAGCACAGATAGTCTCAATAAATTTCTACAAAGACTAAATGATTATCAAAAAATCAGTGGCTTTATTCTCTGATCATGCTGAGCTTGGAACTCAGTAGCTAAAAGATGCCCACTAAAGTGCCTTGTTTCTAGAAACCAAAAAATTAAACTATTTTATGATTTTGAAAATGAAATTAAAATTGAAACTAAGAAACTGTGGGTTGACAGTAAGTAAAATACATATAAAGTTTGGACAAGTGCATCAGTGAAGATGTTGCTTAGGATACCCGCATCCCATATTAGAGTACCTGGGTTTGAATCCAAGGGACATGCTGGGAGGCTGCAAGTGGCTGACTCAAATTGAGTTCTTGATGCCTTACTTCCTCTTGGCCCAGCCCTGACTGTTGCAAGCATTTGAAGAGTTAACCAGTACAAGGAAGATCTCTTTCCATTTGCCTTTCAAACAATAAATAAATAAGTAAATAAATTTAAGTAAAATATAATGGTATAGATTCTCAACATAGCCAGTAGCTTAAAAAAATTAATGATATAAACCAACGTCTTAAAAATTTTTCCAGTAGACCAGGAATAGTTTAACAAATAACCGTATTAGCATTAAAAATAATATAACTACAAAAAAGTGGAGATTTTTAAAGAGAGAGAAAATTTACCATCTGAAATTATATGGCAATACATTTAAAAAGTATCCAAATGGAGTGTGTTCTAGAAAAATCATAAGTTACTATTACAAGCTAAATCATATCCCACCTCACCCAAAATTGTATTAAGAAGCCCTAACTCCTTGTATGAGTAGCTGAGAATGTGACTGTATTTTGAGTTGTAAATATAATCTTTTAAATGTAGGGCCTTTAAAGAGGTAAATAAGGGCCCTTTGGTAACCCTAGTCTATTCTGACTGGTGTCCTTTTAAGAGGAAGAGATTTGGACATAGAAAGAGACGAGAAGTCAGGAGCAGCACTTGGGCAGAGTGGGACAACCATGAGAAAACAGTCACAACAGCAAGATTTCTGCAAGCCTTAGAAGAAACTAAACCTGCTAATACCTTGATATTGGGCTTCTGACAGACATTCAGAACTTGAGGAAATAAATTCTGTTATTTATGGCATCCCATCTGTTTATATATGACATCCCTATCAAACTAATGCAGTTGCTAAAACTGACTTAGGAAGAAATAGAAAAATGGGGACCCAGCACTGTGGCATAGTGAGTAAAGCTACCACCTGCAGTGCCAGCATCCCATATAGGTGCTAGTTCAAGTCCTGGCTGCTCCATTTCCAATGCAGCTCTCTGCTATGGCCTGGGAAAGCAGCAGAGGATGCCCCAGGTAAAATGACACAGACCTAGAACAGTGTTTCTCAACTTTTTTGTTGTTGTTGTTGCCCCCAGTAGGGGGAAACTATGTAATTAAAATTCTCCTTGAGATGAGAAATTATATGTTAAGGAATAAGATTTTATCTAGTAGATTTGAGCCTTAGGGTTTCTGTAGAATATTGTTATGTCTAAGATTTTTTACTCTACCTTTCCAAGAACCAGTTGTATTCCTTTAGGAATGCATGATTTGTAGAAAGTAAATCAGTGGTTTAAAATGTATAGTAATAAATTTAAAGGCTATCCAGATGGAACATGTTCTAAGGAAAACAAGTTACTGTTATTGACTGAATTGTATCCCTTCCCACCAAAAAAATTCATATTGTCAAACTACGAGTCCTTTTTATAAGTACATGAGTTTGACTATATTTGGAGATGTAAATTCAATTCTTTAAAGATAATTGCCTCTGTCTCCCCTTCATCTTCTGCAAGAGAAACAACTCCAGCTACTTTTATAGACAAGCTTTAACAAAGTTTTAAAGACCAGATTATTCATATCATAAAACAGGGAAGACTTCCTAATAGATTTTTGAGGTTGATATAATTTTATGAAATCTTATAAGGTTAGTATGAAAAATCAAATTTTGGGCCAATCTCACTCAGTGTCTTTCTGTGTGAGAATAGATATTGATGGTCAACTAGCGTTGTGTACCAGAACTAGTGTTCAGTCCTAGAAATACAAGGATGATTTCAAATGGGAAGACAATTTATCACATTAGCAAATTAAGAGAGAAAAGCTATATGATAATCTCAGTACATGCAGAGAAGTATATGGTGAAATTCACCTATTTATGAAAACATTCTTAAAAAGTTATCAAATGGGATTTCCTCAACCTAATAAAATATATCTACCAAAATTCTGTATCAATTTCACTATCTAATAGTAAACTGTTAGTAGCTTTTAAGTTCAGGGACAAGAAAAGAATATTGATTAAATGAACTTTTATTTAATATTATACAGATGAGCTAGCTGAGAAATAATGTGCATGGTCATTACAGCAGAAATGAAAAAAATTCCAGCTCCAGTGATGTTCCTATTTACATAGTAAATCCAAATAGATCCTTTTTTAAACTATTAAAAGTCATTTAAAAATAGTTCACCTACAGTGCTCAGATACATGATCAGCAAGGGAGATCAATGACTTGCCTATAGATGAGTGATAACTGGTTGGAAAACATGTATGACTTAAAGTACACCTTATTATTAGGTACTTAGAAATGAACCTAATAGCAAATGGACAGCATTATACAAGTTTATTGGTTATAAAAGGAGGATTTTCATAAATACAATATAAATCATGTAGGTAGACAAGAAGGCTTAATATTATGAAACTGTCAATTCTCCTTATATTATTATCTAATCTCAATAAAATTTCCATTGAAATCCTAACAGTTTTCAGAAAATTGAACAAACCAGTTCTAAAATTCATATAGAAGAGTAAACTATAAAATGTGCAAAGGGCCCCGTGAAGAAGAGAAAACTATAAAGGGGCTGAGGGGAGACTCACTTTACTAGATGTGATGCCCTACCATACTTGTATATCCAGCAATATATGAAATTAGACCATGTGATACTGGGACAGTGACAAATAGCCCAAAGAACAGAATTGAGGGTCCAGAAGCAGCTTAGTATACACACCCACAAACACACATAAGCAGCTGGAGTTATAACAGTGAAGGCTAAGGCCGGCGCCGTGGCTCACTAGGCTAATCCTCAGCCTTTGCGGCGCCGGCACACCGGGTTCTGGTCCCGGTTCGGGCGCCAGATTCTGTCCTGGTTGCCCCTCTTCCAGGCCAGCTCTCTGCTGTGGCCAGAGAAGTGCAGTGGAGGATGGCCCAAGTCCTTGGGCCCTGCACCCCATGGGAGACCAGGATAAGTACCTGGCTCCTGCCATCGGATCAGCGCGGTGCGCTGGTCGCAGCGCACCAGCCGTGGCGGCCATTGGAGGGTGAACCAACGGTAAAAGGAAGACCTTTCTCTCTGTCTCTCTCTCACTGTCCACTCTGCCTGTCAAAAAAATAAAATAAAAAAAAAACAGTGAAGGCTTTGTATAGCAGCAGAGTTGACTTATCAATAAATGGTACTCCATTGTTCTTATAAGAAGCTAACAATTGATACCAGCATTTACATAAAAACTAATTTCAAGTGTGAATTGTGAAATGTAAAATATTAAAGTTTTAAAACTATGGGGTACGAACTTTTTTGATGGTTAAAACTTTGAGAACCTTATGAAGCTTTTATTTTGTATGTGTTTATGTCTCTTAATTACTGTTTTAGAAATTAAAAATACATTAATATTATTAATGTGAAAATAATTCATGCCATGCCAATGCAAAATATGCCAAGCAATGAGAACTGTGTACTGTTGGGTTGAGTATGTGTTTTTTTTTTTTTTTTTTTTTTTGACAGTCCGAGTTAGACAGTGAGAGAGAGAGAGACAGAGAGAAAGGTCTTCCTTTTTCTGTTGGTTCACCTCCCAAATGGCCGCTGTGGCTGGCGCACCATGCTGATCTGAAGACAGGAGTCAGGTATTTCCTCCTGGTCTCCTATGAGGGCGCAGGGCCCAAGGACTTGGGCCATCCTCCACTGCCTTCCCGGGCCACAGCAGAAAGCTGGACTGGAAGAGGAACAACCGGGACAGAATCCAGCACCCCAACTGGGACTAGAACCCCGGGGGTACCAGTGCCGCAGGCAGAGGATTAGCCTAGTGAGCCGTGGCGCCAGCCGAGTATGTGTTCTTATAACAAATTGGGGAATAATTCAGAAACATAAAGTTGAAGGTACACTTACTCTATGATCCAGTCGCAATTCAGCTTTCAAATAAAACTCGGTTAGCGCTTTCCTAATAGCATACCATGAGTCTTTAATCCAAAAAATGTTCCCAGGGCCTGGGCTAGTTCTCCCTCCAGGTCCAGTGAGCTTTCTGCCAGGAACCTTGTCTAGTCACATCATTATGCCGTACAGGTACTCTTTCTGTGTGTGCTATGATGTCACAATGTCTGGGAAGCTTCCTAGAGACATACTACATGTCTGTTGCAACAGGGGTACATTAAAAAAATATTACTGTAGAAATCTAGTTAATATAGAAGTAAAGAGGGAAATAAGAAACCATCCTTTAGCTAGGTAGGCATTTGGCTTAGCTATTAAGAGATTGGTTAAGACTCCCACTTCCCAAATTAGAGTGCCTGTGTTTGATTTTCCTCTCCAACTCCAGACTCTCATTTCCTGCTAATACGGACTCTGTGAGGCAGGTTATGCCATTCACACAGGAAAACCTGGATTCAGTTCCCTGCTTCTGGCTTTGACATCTGCCCAGGCCCTATGGTCACAAACATTTAGTATGTGAAACGGGATGGGTGCTCTCTCTGTGTATACCTGTCTCTGTATCTCTCTGCCTTTCAAATACAATTTTAAAAACATTTTATTTTAAAAAATCCTTTAGGTAAGAACTACAGTAATAATTACTGTGAATAAAATCTACTGGTAAGTGCTAATATTAGTGAAATTATGGGGAGAAACAGAATTTATGAAGCCTCAAAGCATTTCCTTTAAAGACTGTAACACTATAGAGTAGAACCCTAGCATAAACCACTGTAGCTAAGTGATCAACATGATGGCCACGAGTAGAAAAACATATTAACACTGTGAGTCTTGTGATATGATGCTCTAAGAAAGTCACTATACTTTCCATGATGTTATTGCCAAAAATGAATAACCTCAGTCCAGGACAAGTGATCAAAAGTATCAAGGTCTGGGGCCAGTATTTTGGTGCAGTTGGTTAAGCCAGCGCTGCCTACAATGCCAATATCCTGTATCAGAGCACAGATTTCAGTCCTGACTCTTCCACTTCCAATCCTGTTCCCTGCTGATGTGCTTGGGAAAGCAGTAGAAGGTAGCCTGAGTACTCAGGCCTCTGCCCCTCACATGGGAGACTCTGTTGGCATTCCTGATTCCTGGCTTCAGCTTGGCTCAGCCCTAGCCTTTGTGGCCATTTGGAGAGTGAAACAGGAAATGGAAGATCTCTTTCTGGGTCTCCTTCTCTCTCTGTGTCACTCTGCCTGTCAAATACATAAGTAAATAAATATTTTTTAAAAATGAAGTATCAAGGTAATAAAAACCAGAAAGAATGAAGAAGAAATAAGCTAAGGAGAAATGATAACCAAATACCATAAGGACTAAAACCACTTTACTTTGAATTTCAGATTTTTTTTTTTTTTTAGGTAAACTAAGGTTTCCCGAGAGCTTTTTCCTTTTAAAGCAACTGCAATCTCGAAGGTGGAGCTCAGATACACTAAAGAGTGTGTGAAATTATAAAACCTTACATATTTAGATGAATACATGATGCAGGGGGAGAGTGCTTTTTAATAAGCACTTAATCTTCCAAGAGTGGGGAATGTCCAGATTGTGAGCCATGTAAGGCCCACAAAATCATTTGATCTGGCTTTGCCAAGGCATTTTCAGGTGGGATTCAAAATTCAGTAAATCTATAGCAGGCTAATTTTTTTGAAAGATTTATTTTATTTGAAAGGCAGAGTTACAGAGAGGCAGAGGTAGAGAGAGAGAGCAGTCTTCCATCTGCTGGTTCAGTCCCCAAGTGATGGCAATAGCCGGAGCTGGTTAGCTTCTGAGCCAGGAGCCAGGAGCTTCATCCAGGTCTCCCACGTGGGTGCAGGGGCCCAAGGACTTGAGCCGTCTTCCACTGCTTTCCCAGGCCATAGGAGAGAGCTGGAGCAGGGCTCGAACCCGCGCCCATATGGGATGTTGACACTGCAGGCAGCAGCTTTATCCTCTGTGCTACAGCACTAGCCCAGATATTAGGCTAATTTTTAAGGTGATAATTTTATATGGCCCTCAAGTGATGTTATAAATACCCAATGGCCCTTGTCAGAAACAAGTTCCCCACCTATGTCAGGGAAAGTAAATTTACAAACATCTTTTTGAAACTGTGAAGAGAGATCCTGAATTGTTTCCAGTAGGAAAGGAACTGTAAATCAACATCAGTTATGTAATATTCATGTTTGCAATATAACATGTCTAATAAATCTGCTAAACCTAGCATTTGTTGTTTGTTCTACATTATTTCAGGTAACATTTATTAAAATGATTATTTTCAAGGATTTTTATTGGTACCTTCCTTCTCATGTAATTTCACCATATCTTACTTTCCTTATTCACAAGTTGTCCTACCATATATTATGTGTGTGAAAAATGGTAATTGATACACAATAACCACAAACATTTATGGGATACAGTATGTTAATTTAATACATGTGTATAGTATGGAGTGATTCAATTAGAATAATCAGCATCACCTCAATCATTTGTCATTTCTTTGTGTATAAACATTAAAAACCTTCTCTTCTAGAAATTTTGAAATATATAGTAAGTTACTCTTTTTAAGATTTCTTCATTTGAAAGTTAAGAGTTAGAGAGACAGGGGGAAAGACAGATATCTTCTATCTGCTGGTTCACTCCCCAGAGTCCGCATGGCTAGTGCTGAGCCAGGCAGAAGCCAGGAGCTAGGAGCTTCCCTCAGGTCTCCTGCATGGGTGACAGGGGCCCAAGCACCTGGGCCACTCTTCACTGTTTTTCCCAGGCTATCAGCAGGGTGCTGGATTGGAAGTGGTACAGCCTGTTCAGGAACAAGCACTGTATGGAATGTTGGTGGCAGCTTTACCCATTACGCCACCATGCTGACCCTTATATAATAAATTGTTAAATATAGCCACCCTCATGTGCTGCAGAACCCTAGAATTTATTCCTCTTGTCTCACTACTTTTGTACCTGTTAGCAAACCTTCTCTAGATGTTTTCTTTCTTCCTTTTTTTAAAATTTATTTTTTATTTGTTTGAAAGGCAGTTACAGAGAGGAGAGAGATCTTCCATCTGCTGGTTCACTCCCCATATGGCTGCAATGGCCAAGGCTGGATCAGGCTGAAGCCAGAAGCCAGGAGCTTCTCACAGGTCTCCCATATGAATGTAGGGGCCCAAGCCCTTGGAACATCTTTCACTGCCTTCCCAAGCACATTAGCAGGGACCAGGATCCAACAGTGGGGCAGCCAGGACTTGAACCAGAGCCCATATGGGATGCCAGCATTGCTGGCGGAGGCTTAACCTGCTGTGCCACAATGCCAGCCCATCTGTGGATGTTTTTAAGAGCCTGATTCTTAGAATTGAGAAGTTACTATACAACTTAGTTAATATTGATATGTTACAGTGAATGTTTTCAGTTATATGAATAGAGACAGTTAAATTGATCTTTGCCTTTGGAGTTTATGGTAAATTAATTAATGGTATGTTTCTTTAATACAAGGGCTTTTCAACTCTAATTTGTCATTGTGTTTCTTATCACACACATATTTTATGAAGTGTCTCAAGACTTTAATTTTTTGGCCGGTGCTGCGCTCTGTTGACTAATCCTCTGCCTGCAGCGCTGGCACCCGGGTTCTAGTCCCGATTGGGGCACCGGATTCTGTCCTGGTTGCTCCTCCTCCAGTCCAGCTCTCTGCCGTGGCCCGGGAGTGCGGTGGAGGATGGCCCAAGTCCTTGGGCCCTGCACCCGCATGGGAGACCAGGAGGAAGCACCTGCCTCCTGGCTTCAGATTGGCGCAGCACCAGCCGTAGTGCGCCGACTGTAGTGGCCATTTGGAGGGTGAACCAATGGAAGGAGGATCTTTCTCTCTGTCTCTCTCTCTCACTGTCTAACTCTGCCTGTCAAAAAAAAAAAAAAAAAAGACCTTAATTTTTTAGCACATGGTTACTCTAATTCTTATTGATTCCTTTGCATTTACTCTGTTTTGAAAATATTTCAGATATTTTAAAGTTTTGTTTTGTTTTGCTTTTAATATCCAGAAAATGCTACAGACAACATTTGGACCTGACTGTCCTAGTTCTTTCAGATTAGAAATAGTTCTCTACAGATATTTTTCAAGAGTGGATTTGAAAGGTAAAAACGTTCAAAGTGAGGTGACACAAATTAGATGTCAGTATGAAGAGGGAGCAAAGGGTTTACTAACAACATTGGGTACATACACTAGAGTCAGGATTGAAATTAATTCTTGGGGCCAGCACTGTGGCATAGCAGGTTAAGCCACCGCCTGCAGTACCTGCACCCCATATGGGCACCAGTTTGAGACCCAGCTGCTCCACTTCCAATCCAACTCTCTGTTACGGCCTAGGAAAGCAGTAGAAAATGGTCCAAGTCCTTGGACCCCTGCACCTGTGTGGGAGACCCAGAAGAAGCTCCTGGCTCCTAGCTTCAGATCGGCACAACTCCGGCTATTGCGGCCAATTGAGGAGTGAACCATCATATGAAAGACCTCTCTCTCTCTCTCTCTCTCCTTCTTTCTATGTAATTCTGACTTTCAAATAAATAAAAAAAAACTTAAAAAAAATACTCAATATACCCTGGTCTTGGAAATGGTTGTGATTTTTATTTGTATATTCTAACAATTTTCATATTTCCTCACTTGCCTAATGTTTATTAAAGCACAATATTATTTTTGTGGGAAAAAAAGAAATTTAATTTTTGAATTCACAGAAGTATGTAAATCCACAGTTCCTTATCTACAGAAACCTTTGGAACAAAATGTGTTTTGATTTCAGATTTTTTTGCATTTTGAAAAGGTAATACTGTTAAGATACCTTATATTATATAACAACTCATCCAAGATTTCAGGCAGAACTACATAATCAGCACATTAATATTTTTGCACTAAGTTGTATATATTTACACAGAGTGGGATACTAAGGAAAATTATTTCACCTCAATTTTAGATTTTGTTGGTAGATAAGTTTAAAAAAATGACTGTTTGCTTAGCTTGTGATACTTTAGAATTGTAAATAAGGGATGGTGAACCTGTATACTAATTAGAAACAAACACATGAAACAAAAAATTAAGATATTTTGGTCCTAGCTAAGTATAGTGAGAGTTAGGAGAACT